TTATTAATTATAACGACTATAATATAATATATTAGAAGTAATATTTCGCTTCGAGAGGAAAGAAGGGAAGGGTGGAGAGACACGGTAATCGTGTGTCAATTCGAGAACTAGGAAGTAAGAACTTGGCGAGGGTGCGTTCTCCAACTCGCGCTCGAGGGGAGATCGCGAGTTCGCGAAAAAGCACCCGCGATATTGGCGATCGCGTTTGTTCGGGTATCGAAATCGCTTGAAACGAAACGAGAAAGTAAGCGAGTTAAAAATAGATGCAAGGGTCAAGTTCGGCTCGTAATCGGCTTGAAAAAGAAAAAAGGGAGAGGGGGGGAAGAAGAACACGTTTGTGACGACTCCGAGCCGACTCCGCCGTGTGCGTTGTCACTCGGACCTCTGTCTTTCTGTTCGATTGGGGAGGAGCGGTCGGATACACGAATGAGAAAACACACACGCTCTTTCTGCAGGCTGCACGCTATCAATGCTGATTGTGCTAAACGAGAGACTTTTGCGCCACGCATGATTAATACGTTCCTATCTCTCTGTAGACTGGCACAGCGACAATGATCGTCCGTACAATAATGGGAGACGAGGGGGGGAGAAGAGGGAACCGATTCCTCTCGAGAAACCGGTTAACTCTAATCTCACTTCTTTCGCTATATTTCACCGTAATCGTGCGAGTCGGCTGCGAGGAAGAGAGCTTCTCCATTCTCGATTCAATTTGTTCGGTCAACTTGAGTCGTTGCTAATTGAATCGATGCAGGAGGTCATGTTGATGCGAGGAGACTTCATATTTAAAATGAACGCTTATCGCCCGTACGAGCGTGAATTAGCGATATCCTTACGAAAGGATAATCCTCGATTTTCCTCAATCGATTTATCGTATATCATCCCAGCGAATTAAATCCGATCGTGATTTTCTCGTAGATACGCAATAACGAATGATATTTCTGCGTAATCGTTGACAGTGCTATTTATGAACTATTATGAACAGATCAATAGGTGCCAGCGATACAAAAATCGCCGAGCGTGAGAGTGTGCTCGCTCACGAATATGATTATTTGCTCCTTGTTTTGTAAATACCAACGTGTAATCGATGGAAGTGGCTTAACTCTTCCAATATCGTTTCGTTCTTTTATATGAAAAAAAGCATGAAATATTTATATCGATAAGTTTATAAAACATTTCGTTTTTTTTTGTACTTTACATTAAATCAGATTTAATCATTTCTCGTAATTGAGACGTATCTCAATATGTTTCGTAATAAAACGAATAATTATTTATTTCTGTATTTAAAACTTAACTTTTTGAATGTTCCTTGGGGTCAAACATGTCGAAAGATATATCCTAATAATATCAAAAGAATTAAAGAGCTATAGGTTTGTCTGGATTGCTTAATGTATTTCATCGTTTAATTTTTGGTCATTTCGAAAGTTTAGCTTTGTATTTTATGTTTGTATTTTATAGAAAATTCTTCGAGAAATATTTCAAGACCACATAATTTACATTATTCCTGATGATAATATTATCCATATTGTTAGGTTTTCGTTTTAATAAACATTTAAAAAAGTATCAAATATAGAATATATATATATATATATATATTTTTATCTTCTGTAAAAAGCTCTAAAACACTGGGAAATATATTAGAAATATTAAAATATACCAAAATATATTTTTAATATATTTTCCAGTTAAAAAAATCTATTGCGATAAACTTTGCAAATATATACATATAGGCTTCTCATTCTTTACTTTACCGTTAAACGTTAAAATTGCACTCTTCTCTGAGTAATTGATTGATCAATAAAATTTTATATAAAAACTATAAAAGAATCAAAAATAAAAAATTGCACAACATTCACTATTTTTTATATTTCTTTATATATATATATATATATTATTTTTTTTTTATGTATTTTCAGATAGTAAAACTGTATTAATTAAATTTTACGGACTCTCTCTTTCTCTCTCTTTCTTTCTAGCCTAAATAAATCTTTTATTTCTCAATGAAAAATGATTCTTTGAAAATTTTGAAAGACCGTATCAAATCTTCAAGCATTTTCCGACGCGCTATTATGACAGAGGAGCAATGACCAATGCATGATTGCATCGTCGATCGGTTCGATCGTTCGCTGAAAATCGCGTTATTTGTTCATGTTAACAAGTAATGCAAACATTGAGGGCGTTTCACTACTGGTTGGCTGGTGGAATTCATAATCTCCTCGCGACGCGATACATGCGCGAAGCTGTAAATAATGCCTCGCTAGATGGAAGAATGACCCGGGGGCAACACTGACTGACGGACTTTGACAGCCCGGAGTCGCCGGTTCGTGACGAGAAGAAGAGGAGGGAGAGGAAGGGAGAAGTCGGTCCGCCGGTATTATCTGTCTTTCTTCTCCTTTTTTCACTTCTCCCCCCTCTCTTCACCTTCTTCGAAGCGCACTCCACCACTTCTTTCCCCGAATGGAGAGATATTCACGTCGAACGATCAACTTTACCATCAAATTAACCCTCAAGTTAGTCAACTTCGACTCGATTAATATAACTGATCGCGCGGGGTTACGACCCCGCTACATTTTTTCATTACCACACCGTGATTCCCGTTACACAGGCTAGAAATTAATAATCTTATCTTAATATTTAATTTCAAGCGGATAATTTTATTGTGTCAAATTTGTAAATAAAAAAAAAGCATCATTACGCGCGCTTGCTGTTTTGTTTTACTTTGCACCTCTTGATTCGGTTTAACCGCGTTTATTATGAGTTCGATTAATATCTAATCTCGAGAATCTAATTTTAAAACTATGATCGACCGATAAGAACGATCAGAAGTATTGATTTTCCAATGATAATGAAACGAGAAGAAACTAGCAAGTGGAAATGTTTGTGAGTTAGCGGAAAAATTCGACCTGATAAGACGCGATATGCAAACGCTGTCTGGCGATAGTTTTATCGCCGATTATTCTTCCACGTGCTTCGAACGTGCGTAAAAAATGATATTGAGATGAAAACGTACCGAGACCGACTGAGATATAAGGGCGGTAAACTGACAATAAACATTTCACAAAATTATCTCTGAAAACGAAAATTGTTGGTATAAAAAATTATCTTCTAAAACTGATATCAGTTGTTTTCAAAATAATGGATATCAAATTTTTACCCCCACTTGTAAAATGAATAAATAAATAAAAAACTTGTAGAACGAATAAATAACAAAATATTTATATCTATTCTAATATTTTTAGGTGAATATAATATTCAAATTAAGGGAAGATGATCTCAAAGAGCGAATATTTTATGATATATCTCGTATTTTATTTTGACACATTTCAGTCACGTATTCAATTAAAATGTGAGATTCACTTTCCGATGTAAACTTGCGTTACAAGTTTCGGAGACGGAAATGCGAGTCATGAGCCGGTTCATCCTTTTCCCAATTAAACAAGGGCGGAGATTCAGAGATTCGGACAACGGCGGCAATAAAGTATGTAACGTAACCTTATCATGCGATAATATTGAAATGCAGTTCCTTGACGACGGGCCAGTAAAATAAATCGATATACCCCGGTACCCTTTCCTCATTTTTTTTACTTTCCTTCGGGAGAGGCACGCGATAAGGGCGTCTATCTTTCCCCTAGAACAGCTAACCGGTTTTCATTCACGGAAGCAGCGATCCGCCATGTTTTTACTTAGGAGCATAATACCTTGATGCAAGAACGATGACTCTGTCCTCGATATAGTCGACAACAATAATAAACGACAACCTCAACATGAATCGATCTCGCTGCAATGAAGCCCGAGATAAAAAGACGCTTACTTAAAAACCGCTAATTCGTTGGTTTAGCGGCGTGGAGAACAAGAAGTAAAGTCATTTCCCTTAGGCAATGTGAGCCGCGTGGTTCCAGGCACGGCGTTGTGGGAATCGATTCACCTGGCTGACATAGCGATGGTCTGATTACTGCCCACCACTTACCCCTTGCTACTGTTCGCTGGTAGCAATATTTTACAATTCAATACCTCTTTTCTTCGTCGTCCAAGTCGAAGAGGCACTTGTTACTTCATAGATCAATCGATGTTGGTTTTATGTATGCGGATCTATTTTTGTTAAATCATCTAACCCTATTTGCAGGGTTAAATAAATTAATATTTTACTTTTTAACTAAATTAAATTAAAGTTAAAAAAATTATAAAATTAATTAATAAAAGCTTATAAAATTAAATTAGTTAAAAGTAAATTAACTTAAGTTAAAAGTTACGTTAAAAGTAAATTAATTTAAGTTAAATTAAAAATTAATTTTAAAAAGTATTATTTATATTAAAAAATAAGTAACTTTAAAAAGTATTATTTATATTAAATTTGTAATTTTTTAAAGTTAAAATATTCTAGGTAACGAAACAATTACAGTACAGCTCATCAAATAAATTTAATATTTTATCTGTAAATTAAGTTTATATGAAATAACAAAAAAATATTGTTTTTTCTTATATGGGAATGCATTTCTTATTTTTTCTTCTACATAAATAAATTTTTAAACAGAAAAAAAAGTTGATAAGTCAAAGTTTATATGTTTTAAAAATAACTAGTTGAAGTTACAGGTTAATTCATTTAAAATTAACGGAGTTAAATTAAAAG